CAATAATTATATAATAATTATAATGTCATAAAGAACGATCGTTTTTTTGTTGTAAGCGTATTCGAAAGCTGTTAACCCCCAAAGGAATGCTTTTAAAAAATTTCGTAATTTTGTAATACAATCGTGAGTTTGATTTTGAACCATTTTAATAATATTACTTATTCAGAATAACGAAAGATACTTATCGCCCCCAATTGGCGCTCTATTCCAGATCCTCGTGACATTTATAAAATGCCTTTTGAACTTACGTGTACGACATTTTTAAGACTCTCATGACTTTTGAACTTACATGTACAGCATTTTTTTTCCGAAGAGCATGGCACGGCGCGTTGGGAACCAACCGTACGTGCAAATCATCAATCTGTTCACAGTTTCTGCTGTGAGCGGTCGGCTCTTCGTCCCTCGTAGGGGACTCCTTGAATGACCCTCTCGAATTCGGATGGATCTTTCTAGAACTCTGCTCATACCTACTGCCGCAGGTAGCTTGGTAGCAGGTTATGCATTCGTTAAACTTGAAGCGATTGCTTTTTGAGGCTGTAATGCGCGTAATGTTTTGGTTGTATGATTACGTGTTGATACCTCATTTCAATAAGCTTGACTTAACACGGGTGCAATTATCTTAAACATAGTCACCACTTGTTTTACTAGTGAGTAGACAACATCATCTTGTTTTAGTAGCGTTCACATACAAAGACTGAAAATGGATTAACACCAAGATCCTGAACACTATTTGATGGAATGGTCAAGAAAATAACTCTCTCCCCTAATGTATGTAGTAATGACCAACACCCGTGTACATTCACAGCGCCTGTTAGGTTGCCTGAAAATTGCTGTTGTCAGCTGATGTTTCCACATAGTTCATTCCACAAAGTTTATGGCAGGAAATACTAGAAAATCCCACGGTGATTGTTGTTAAGATAGAATTTATAAAATTGAAGTTGGTGTTGGTTTCAGCCGATTGACCCTCCGACCGGGTTCCCGCCTTGACGTGGCGGAGGGGCTTAGTAGCCGTGGCTTGGTCCCCCACGGCGAAGCTAAGAGGAACCCACACTGGGCCGGCCTGTGATGTAAGGCCGGCCCGTGAGGGCTGCTCCGAGTGAGCTCATTGAATGAACCAAAAATAAAACAAACAAAAATTAAAACTTAATGTAGAAGTAATGGGTACAATGGGCGGCCTTATTACTAAGAGTAATTTCTTCCAGGCAACCTTTGGATGGATTAAAAAGAAATAATTTAGGAATAAAGGTGTGGGTTAACTAAATGAATGAGAAAGAAAAATACTTATCTACAATCATAATTCATAATAATAAGATATTTATAAATATGTAAGTAACATGCCATATATACGAATACATATATCATTGTTAGGGAATAACATTATAGAGATAAGTAATGATTTTTTACAAGATTCTTGAAAATATTTAATGACTGCGCACGCCTTACTTCTAGTGGTAAGTCATTCCAGAGTCGTGCCCCTTGCACCATAAATGACCTACTCATAAACTTTGTTTTGTGCGTAGGAATTTTCAACTCCAAGTTTTCTGATGATCTCAGAGACTTAGAGTGGGAATCACAAAGAAATTGGAAACGTTCCTTTAGATAGGTGGGATAAGAGGGATTAAACAGAATGTTGTAAACAAGATAAAGTATGTGAGAATTCCGGCGAAGACGAATAGGCAGCCACTTGAGCTTAGCACGGAAATGTGAGATATGATCATATTTGCGCAAGCCAAATATGAATCTTATGCAAAAATTTTGAATACGTTCTAGCTTATCAAGCAGCTCCTTGGTGAAATCTAGATAGCTGACATCTGCATAGTCGAGTATTGGAAGAAGTAGATTTTGTGCAAGAGCAATTTTAGTGGCAGTCGGTAGGAGGTTGCGTAATCTTCTTAAGGATGCTGCTGAAGCGAATATCTTGCGAGTTATTTCTTGTAGGTGAGGGCCCCACGAAAGATTTCTATCAAAGTAAATTCCTAAGTTTTTTACTCTTGAGCTTAATGGTATTGGAATTCCGTCAAGAGTAACATTGGAAGTTTGCATCTGATTCACTTTGTTTAACATTTTCGATGAACCGATTACCGTAAATTGTGTTTTCGCGGGATTTACCGTTAAACCATGTTCCCTGCTCCAGTTCGAAATTCGGGCGAGATCTTCATTTATCACGTTAATAGCTAAGTGAATATCAGGAGGGTAAGCTTGAGTATAAATTTGAAGATCATCTGCATAAAGATGGTAGGAAGAAATTATGTTAGCGGAAATAGAGTTTATAAAAACTGAGAAAAGCAAAGGAGATAAAACGCCACCCTGCGGTACACCAGCAGTAGTATAAGACAAAGATGAGAAAGTGTCTTCAATGCAAATACGCTGCCGGCGTCCATACAGGTCACTTCGAAACCAATCAACTGTTGGAGATATGTTATGGGATTGGAGTATTCGAACTAGAACCTCAAAATCGACCGTATTGAAAGCATTACTAAAATCAAGCAGGGCAAGGACAGTTAGCTTACCGTTTTCCCATTCTGATATCATCTGTAATATTTACTAGCGCTGTCGCAGTACTATATCCACGACGGAAGCCTGATTGCAAAGGATTTAGGACGGAATTATTGTGTAGGAAGGTGCTGAGCTGATTATAAACAAGGCGTTCAAGGACTTTGGATAGAAATGGCATTATAGATATAGGACGATAATCGGAAAAGGATGAAGGATTGCGTTTTTTAGGTAGAGGGATAACTTGTGCATCTTTCCAGTTAGATGGAAAGACGCCCTTGGAGATCGAGTAGTTTAAAATATGGCACAGAATGGGAAGGATGATATCAAGAATGGGGGAGAATCATTTTTCGGCTAACACAATCGCTGCCAACTGCGTTAGAGGTTATAGAAAGAATACCCTTCCTAACATCACAAGCAGAGAATTGATTAAAAATAAAGGGTGCGTAGTCGGGGGTTGGCTTTGATGAAAGAATTTTGAGTGTCTTATCTTTAATGGTTCCATCGAAGTTGGAAGAAGCGCAGAAATGTTGATTTAGTGAATCAATGTTTAAATCTTTGAGGGCTGTTTCATTCTGTGACTTGCCAATCCCCATTGACCTAAGAAACTTCCAGACTCTAGCTGGATCACCATTTTGAATAGATGTATGAATGTGCTGGCGTTGTGCGTCCCTACAAACCTTATTGCAGTGATTTCTAATGGCCACATATTTATCCCAGTTGTTTTCGGTTGGTTTACATTTAAATTTAGTTTTTGCTGTGGCTTTTTTTGCCAGAAGAGATTTAATGTCTTCAGTTAGCCAAGGTGAAGAACGTTGTTTCATTTTTATTCGACGAACTGGAGCATGCAGATTATAAAGTTCCGTTAATTTATTTGATAGAATATGAACCTTGTCATCAATCGAATTAGCGCCTAAAATAGTAGTCCAATCGATCTTAGAGGCATCCTTACAAAGAATCTCAAGTTCATACCACCAAAATTGCGCTGCAGAAGGATTTTCGACTTAGCTTTAGGGGGACGAATTTTATAGGAAAGAAAGATGAGATCGTGATAGGAAAAGGCATCAGCTGGACATTGGCCAAACTTTGCAACATAGTCGGAAGAAGAAACAAGTATGAGATCAAGTGAAGGATTAGTGTTTGGGCAATGGTGTGTGGGGTGCAATGGAAGTAAGACAAGATTACTAGAGTTAACTAGAGAATGAAAGCGAGAAGAACGATAATCTTGCTTAAAAAGACAATTATTAAAGTCACCCATGATAATAGTTTGATGATAGGATGGAGAGTAGTTACAAATAATAATTTCAAAGGAATTGAAGAAGTCAATACGTAGAGGGACAGTAATACACACCAAGCAGGACTTTAGTATGGTGTAACTCCACCTCAATAAAAAGATGCTCACCAGCGTTAGAGGGGGGTGGCTGTGCTGACATATCAATAACAGAGAAAGGGATAAAATCGCGGAAGTATATGGCAACACCACCACCTCCGCACCAGGTACGGTCGTTTCTAATGAGATGGTAGCCAGGTAAAGAATAGCTAACCGAGGGAAGGCAAGGTTTAAGCCATGACTCGGAGACAAGTATAGCATAAATATTCTTGCAATGAAAAGTGGTCTGTAAAGTGAGCCGGAATACTCTGGGCATTTATATGAACTACGTTAAAGTTTTTGGGAACATCAGAAAATCTGGCAGCGAGGGCGTCCGGAAGTGGTTCAATGCTACCAAAACTGTCATCTCCGCTCATTGAGCCCACTCTGGATGCGTGCTGGAGGGTGCAGGGGACAGGTCGAGGGTGGTAGAGGTGGAGCCACTCTCCCTGTCTTCTGCTACCGAGGAGGAGTCCCGGGGGAAGAGGAGTGTCGGTATTGCGTTGGCCGTGCTCCCTATCCTCCGCGACTGGGCGGGGCTGCACCGCTGATGCAGTGGTGGTGGGGCCGCGGGGGGAGAGGAGTGTCGGTATTGCGGTGCGCCGTTCTCCCTATCCTCCGCGGCCGAAAAGTGGTGAGCGGCGAAGCCACAGACCAGGTCCGCCGCTGGGGGCTGGGAGGCGTGCTGCTTTTTAGCACTGACTCTTCTGGCCCCCATGGCCCCGGTCAGCGAACTCGGGGGAGTTCGTTGGCCGTGAAAATGGGGCCGAGTAGGAAGGCGCGCTGAATGTTCCAGCGTGCCTTACCTGGAGGAGAGGGGAGTTCCTCCCCGTGAGGGGGCTGCTAAGGCGGCCAGCGCTGACAGGGTCGCGGAAGTGTGCGAAAGCGTTCCCGTGACCCTGCCGATATGCGCCTAGGTGTAACATCGTGGGGGTTTTAGTCGGTGCGAGTCCGACATAACCCGCTCTTGCCCCCGCGAGGGCGGGTATGCGTAGGCATTTCCCCCACGTCAAAAAAAAAAAATTGTTTGTCCGTTAATAAACCATTATTTCGCCAACCCGATCCTGCCATCTAGAGTAAGAGAGAGTACTACTTGTTGGCCCATAAAGTGAATATCATTATTACAAAGAATCTACTAAAAGGCCTCACGGTTAATATCTTTACTGTAGTTCAGGAGGCGCTCCACGACCTCCGAACTGTCGGGCGATACGCTCGGATACTTCCTGAGAGAATCCGCGAAGGCGCTCGATGTGGCTGAGTCCCTGGACATCCTTGTCGAGACTGCGGCGTGAGGGTAATGAATAAGCCACGTGTCTGTGCAAAGCATTATTAATCACACTACCTAGTAAAAACACCGCATCAAGGTCTCTAGCGTATACTGTGGGTAGACAAATAAATACAAAAAATGTTATGTATGTACTGCCGGGCGCGGCAGTCTGTTTCGGAGCATTAAATGTGTATGACGTTACAATTATAGTTTTATTGAAATAACGTCTTCGACGTACAAATACCACAAGGTCCGTTGCGCAGTTTTAAAGATCTAAGCGTACATAGGGACGGACAGACAGCGGGACGACTTTATTTTATACTATGTAGTGAAAGCTAACAGTCGATTCACTAGATGTTGAGTGATCACCGCCGCCTTTTGTAGGATCCGCCCGCCGAATCTACAACACCCGAGATGCCCAGTATCTACAACACGCTTAAGTATAATACTTCCACTAGTCGCCAGTCTTCGGCGATCTAAGCTTGCGGTATTTCACGAGCCTGCTCATTCGTACATCAGAAAAAGTTACTTCGTGAACCTGCCGTAGCTAAACGTCTATATTTTTTTGAAATCGCAAATAGTACGCCTGGATGAAAGGAGATTACTTTGCGGGCCTTTAGGAGCGTAAACTTCTGGTCGTCTCAGTCGCCAGACAAAATACAAAAATGTTTAAGAGGGTAAGCAACTGATTTGCACTCGCCAGACATAATACAAAAATGTAGATAATTATTCTAAATGCTGTTATCACTTTGTCTCTTCCGTAGAATGAAAAAAAAATATCTCGCACATAATTATGTGAAGTCTGCCAATTCTCAGTGAGGTCGCGTGGTGGACTATGCCCTAATACGCACTATACAACTTTACTAAGCTTCCTTGCGTTCCGTTTATTTCGATTTTTCCATAGCCCCATAGATTCGCGCATCCACATCGCGTCGGGGCCGTGGTGACACTCTGGAAGTACCGAGGTTTAGATTGGCTAAAACCAGAAAGTCGTTTCTTGGACGATGCATCAACTTTTATAATAAAATAGGTGACATCCACAAACAACTAAGTAAGTATAAACAATTTGTAAAAGCTACCTTAATGGCAAGGGCATACTATAATATCCAAGAATACATTGAGGACAAGGATGTTTGGAAATGACTCTTGCTCTGCACTTGCAAGACCCCTAGCTGCTCCTGATTTTATACCTAAATAAGTGTGTATAATTGCATCAAAAAATATATATAACAAAAAGAACAAGACCGCAGAGTTTCTTGCCGGTTCTTCTCTGTGCAGGTCTAGTTTAGTGAACCCGTGGTAGATTATTTTTTTACGTTCAATAAGAGCTTAAGTTAGGTCTATATTGAATAAATATACTTTGACTTTGACTAGATTGTGGTAATGATAACTTATTGTTAAACAAATTCATCCTGTCAACACTGGTTTGAATGCACTGCCTTCGACTTCATTGACGCTATCTTCTGTACAAGTTTAAATAAAATAAACCTTTATCCGCCAAATCATTGCGCGTGTTCGATCTAGTTGGAGAACGGCTGCCTCTGCCGAAACCGCCCACTTCGAAACTTCCTCGCCCTGTTAATTTGTCTCGTTAAAATTTGAGTTAATCTGTCCTCAGTCCTTGAAAGACCATCTCTAGCAACAAAATACAGTTTATACTTCAACCTTATATAAGTTACGTAAATATCCTGAAAATTCTAAATTAAAAAAAAAGTATATTTTTCTAGTCGTTGCAAATCGTTGGAAGACATCCCTCTAGGTGGACCGACGACATCATAAGAGTCGCGGGCAACCGGTGGATGCAAATGGCAAAGTACCGTTCGTTGTGCCGTTCTAAGGAGGCCTATGTTCAGTGAACAGTGGACGTCTTGCGGCTGATGATTTAAAGATTGTAAATCATTTCATAACCATTAAACTGTAATTAATGTACACAACAATATTGAAATTTTGCCTTTAATTGTATAGGATGCATAAAATATGCATCACAAGACTGTTATGTCATATAGACTACGAGGTAACGGCCGGTTTCAATATTCTATCTGTAGATTTGGTTACAGGAGATAGAATTTTCACGTAAGAATTGTAGAGCTAATGTCAAATACCTATCGCTAGAAACAAAATCTACGGATAGATGGAATTTTGAAACCGGCCGTAAGCCAGTTGTGTGACCCACCTAAGTCAGGCCGCACCCGTTGCGGTGGGAACTCCGTCAGCTCAACTGGGGGTGACGTTGGCTGCAGATGGCAATATTCCATCTGTTTTAACAAATATCGTTTATTAGATTTGCCGTCATGTCCAGATTTGTGACTCTGTGGCTCAGTTGCCAGTGGCCAAGGTATTATCTTTCGCGCCGGTGGCCGTGGGTTCGATGCTTACACATGGACTGTAGAGTAGAGTTTAATGAAATAAATAATAAAACCGTTTAAAAACTTTTAAGTTAAACGGTTTTATTTTATGTGCACTGAAGACTACAATATTGTATTGTCATCTAAATTAAATGTGTGTACCTAATTTCAGATGAATCTGACAACGGGAAGGTGCTTAAATTTCAATTTCTAATATTGACCCAAATAAACAAATAAATTCCGTACGGGTCGAGCTAAATAAAACCGTTTAACAATTTTAAACGCACGCTCTCAGTTACAATTCCACATTTACAATTCTATATATAATTATATAGGTACATATTTATTTACTCATATTATATATATTTATTAGTATCGTGTATTAAACCTCAACATGATAGACGGAGACGGCTAATACTATCTGCTCTTCACGCCGCTCAATTAAATCGCGAACGCGACAGACTTCAAAAACGCAAGACAGATTTCGCACTTAATAAATACGAAAAACGGATAAGTCATGGGGTGTATCATGGTAGTATTACATAACAAGTGCTGTGTCCCAACTACTACGAAAAGCTACATTTTGAAACAAATGAACAACCGAAGGTGGATTACAATTACTAGGCTAGCACGTTACCCGCAAAGGTATGCATCGCCGCTTGCTCAGCGGTGCCACCGGAGTGCCGAAGCCATCGAGGATACTAAAAATCAGGCGAGATCTTCAAATTCACCTTATAGCTGCTGGCATATCTGCCGTCCGCCGCCTGAGCGCCAGTGTCGCACCGCGTCGCCCCCGCGTCCTTCGACGCGGACTGCGAATGCCGAGAGGTCATGCCGCTGCAGGCATTATGAACCCTCGATGTAGGCTCCTCGAGCTCTGAAAGAGTTAATAACCTGATGATTTAAAGCTAATACCGCGTTAGGAGACGAATGAAAGAGTCGAAACAAAGGATAAGCTACCAACCTGATGACTTAATTCTAATCCCGCGTTAGAAGACCACTGAAAGAGTCGCAACAAAGGATAAGCTACCTGATGATCTTATTCTAATCCCGCATTAGGAGATGAACGCCGTGTCGCGGGGGTTAGACATCGAAAAGAGGGACACAGATCCTTGTTGTGTGAATCCAAACTTGAGCAGTTTTTCTGCACACAGCGCATTTATATTATATTCAAAGTGTCGTCTTCAAATAAGTGTTTTATTAAAAAATGAAATACTTTAAGTGCCGTGAATGCTCGTTGTCCGGGCGCTCTTTTAATGTGATATACTCGAGCAACATGAGTTCGAAACCCGGTGCCGGCACTCAGCGGTGAAGGAAAACAACATGACGAAACCTTCAAATTTTCGAAATAATATCTTGAAAGAAATAAGATATTTGAAGTCCATAGTCCGTTAATCCGCAGTGGGGACGCGTGGTGGACTATTCCCTACTACCCTCTGTACAGAGGAGGCCTTTGTCCAGCAGTGGGATATGTATAGGCTGTTACTTTACTTTACTTGTGCCAGCCTGCAACAGTTTTACCTACACGTCCATGCTAAAAAAAACTGTTCCTATTAATCCTGAAATATAACCTGACATAGGAAGAAAAGGCGTATAGAAGATAATTTAACATCGTTTTAATTCTTAAATATCTAAAAGCCTTTAAGTAGAGAATACCAAGATCCTAAGCTTAGATTCTAGAGTATTTTTAGGTTCTTCATAACCAAAAAGAAAGGTGAAGGGCCAACGTATTAGTATTGATAATTCTACAAAGTTTGAAAGGTCATTTAACCTGTTCGGGGCATGAGAGTGTATTGGCCCCCATCATCCACGAGGGTCACCATGAGTCCTGAGTCCGGGAGTCCCCGGACGATCGCTGTCATACCTTTCCTCTCCATCGCCCGCTCAGTTGGAGTCCAGGGGAATGTGCTGCGATCAGATCAAGATATTTAGCAGTCGCCGCGAATTCATGGCGTTTTCAGTGCATACATGAATACAAAAATAAACAAAGGTTATGGCTATGTTCTCTTACGATTTGACACACTCGGCGGCAAGTTGACAGACGAAGTGAATACCGAAATAATTTTTCAGATATTAAAATATTCCCAGAATCATATGAACTAGTAAGGTATAACTAGTAAGGTATGTAATATATTAATTTTCTAGACATTAAAATGTTTTTGCTGTACGAAGACAGGAGAAACCAACTTATGGGGAAAATTTAGTGTATTGCTTATTTTATTATTTTATTGCGCACATACTACATGCTTATGCATATGCTTTAGTAATATACGATTTGTTCGGTTTCGTTTCATAATAAATACAAAAAAGTACATAAATGTATCTTATCCTTTAAACGAGCAATTCTTGTATATATATATATATATATATATATATATATATATATATATATAATTGGAATCTCGGAAACGGCTCCAGCGATTTTCATGAAATTTAGTATGTGCATAGATTCGGGGGCGAAAAATCGATCTAGCTAGGTTTCATTTTTAGAAAATGCCCTTTTATCCCTGTTTTCAGGAATGAAAATATAATTCAAATATGACGGTAAATTTCGCCACAAGAGACAATGTCATAATAGCTCGGTCGGTAATCGGGCGGCCCCAAAACAGGCGGCCGTGGTTCGCGTCACGATCATTTACACATTTATTTTTTACATTTTTTTCGATTCCAAATTATTGCTTTCTTTATTTTTAATTTTTTGTCGATTTGTTATTTTGTTTTTTTTTTCCCTTTTTTTTTAAATTTCTTTCTTTTGTGAAAAACATTAATTCATATTTTCTTATTATTACGTCGGTAAGATCGAAAAACATTATGCATATTTCATTACTCAATAATTTGTATCTAAATGTAATTTCCAAAATACACGATTTACAAAAAAAAAACTAACCGGTTCTCCGGGTACTATATTATTAATCACTACGTCTTTTATTATGTAATCTACAGCGTGTCGTTACCGTCGCGACAATAAATGAACATACATATAGGGGATAACTTTTTTAAGTTGTATTAAACATTTAAATTCTTTAAACATCAATATTTACAGAGTTATAAAATTTTCCAAAGCAAAGAATTTTAGAACACCCTCGCGTATAAAACGCGTAACGTAAAGTTCATTTGTAAAGGTCACAAAGCATATGAATGGGTTGAATGAATTTAAAAGAGACAAAACATACTGTTAGAAGGAGAGGCTTGTAATACGACGCTGTGGCGCGGGTTGTATAGGATGTTACAAATTTTGTTTCTTTTTTACTTAATTAGTTTGTTTGAAAAATATTTTTTTTTAATTATGGATTTTGTTTAAAGTTAATATTTTTTTATGATTATTGGCACGTAGCGTTAGACGTGTGTTAATTTATTGTCGCGATGGTAACGACACGCTGTATACTCATATCTAAACGTTGGATTGCTTACGGGCGTGATTTAAATATTTTCTTTAGTATGGAAAACTTAAAATTTTATCTGACAAGGTTTTCCCACAAATACGGTTACCATAGGTAAATGGTGACCCGGTGGGGCAGTTACTAAGTTCTTGGTTTTGGCACCGGAACAAATATTTGTGTGACCCACAGATAATCGTTCCGGATCTGGATGTCCGATCCCAAGGTAGGTTGATGTTAGGCAGATAGCTGGTAAACAAAATTATTCATACCATATCCTGACTTCACCTAGGTGGGATAAAACCAGGAGAAAGAAGATGATTCTGATGCGAATGAATTTTAAACGGTCCCACGTTTTAACGAAGGCGATGTTGACGATTGCCATATCTAATTAAGTACCAATCTTATGAAACGCAAAACGTAATAATCGTTACGTAGGCAAAACCATCATGGAAGTGAAACCAAAGTTGAAATGTATGCTTTTGAGATTTATTATTTATAATTTTTAAACTGTGTTAGGACCACGCAACAGTATTCGCTGTTTCACAAATGAGCAGGTCCTTCCGGGTTAGTTCGTCGACCTCACAGAAGACCGGCGTAAAGTAGAAGTGTTACACTTCTGCGTTTCGTCTGGTGAGTGAGGTAGTCGGGGCACATTATTAAAAGGTTACAAAACATTTACAACCAGTGTTGCAAATGTCCGTGGGCGGCGGTTATCACTTTACAGGTGAACCGCCAGCTCGTTTGCTACTTTCCCACATTTAAAACTCACAGCCATTTTCATTTGCCGAATTAGCGAGTAACAAGAACCAGGTTCTTGACAACTCCTCCACGCGTCGCCGTGATTCACCAACCTGTCGAATACAATAACATAAGAGGGCAGTATTTCATATAATATACTACGTTTGCATACGATTGAGAGAGCTGTATCGGATACTTGGTACTATGTTTGGTGTTCTGTGTTGCAGGCGTAAAGAAATATTACATTTCTTATCTCATTATTACAGATAGATAATATAAATTTTTGGGCATTAAGCCGTGGTATTGTTTAACTATTCCGAAATAACTAACTATTCCGAATATATCCCGGACGTTAGTCTGAGAGAGATTAGAATGGCTCTTGACCATCTTAAGAATGGCAAAGCATCAGGAGAGGACGGAATTACAGCGGAGCTTCTGAAAGCGGGTGGAGAACTGGTACTTGTAGTCCTTCAGAAGCTCTTTAATTCCGTCCTTCAGGGTGGTGCTACACCAGAGGCGTGGGGCAGAAGTGTGGTGGTGCTGTTCTTCAAGTAACGCTCTCTTGAAGAACTATAGACCGATATCCTTTCTAAGGCATACAGCGTTTTAAACAAATAATACTATAATAATTGTATTAAACTATATTGCTCTCTTGCGTTCTAACTTACATTTCCAACACAAGGATTTAACTCTGATCTTCAAATGTATTTAATTTTATTTAAAACAGAGACGACATTGGAAACAAAAATTTTGAATTGTTCACTTAGTATCTATGAGATAAATTTTGTCCTATCAAATGACAGACATTTCTTTAAGTGAGCACTAAGCACAGATACGGCCAGTGTTTTTTCCATAGTGCATGTAGATCCCATAAAATAATTATTAATTCCTCGTAGTCCTTCTTTTCAATGATTGAACATTATTAACAGTGTATATCTTGAAACCTTTTGGACCGACTTTGATTATATTTGTACATTAAATTTTTATAGTTCTAATCTCTGCCTGCACATAAGATGAAACATTTAAATGTATAGAAAAAAGTACGATAAGCTTCTCGCCACTGTGGGAATCCAACCCTCGTCTTCGGGTTTAGGGCTCAGACGCTTTAACCACTAAGCTGAACGGCCGATTGCCACACCGACGAAAATCTCAACGTCTTTTATCTACATTGTTTTTCGCATTTCAAGCAATGCTTGGAGCATCCATTGTTATATCCTTTACAGCGTACAAACAATTTCCAATATCGTTTTACAACGATAATTCGAACGAGAGTTGTCGCCATTGCTATTAGAAATTATAGTATCGAAGCGGAAGGACTCATATTCCATGGCGATTATGAATTAATTGATCTTTCAATGATGTGGCAGTTTTTGGAATAACACTAAATTTAGCAATAAATTAAAGGCGTAAGTGATTACCTTCTTTACAGTTAGTGTTTTTTTGCCGATCGTGAGTGGAGACTTAGCTGTTGATTGTAAATGCACTTGCTAGAAAATAGCCATAATTATTTCAGTCCTTTAAATAGGAAAAAGAATAAAGGAGAAATCACTTTGACAGCACGTCATTCTCTGCAAATTAACAGTGGCAAATTTGTGAAAAGTCAAACGGACAAATCAAAGTGTGAAATGGTAATTTAAAAATGCTCGAAATTCATAGCAATCGACAAATAAAGACACTGAATGGATCCGAAGGACGGGGCGTGTGGAATTGCCGAATTGCCAAATGAGTCAGCAATGACGTTACAGCCTCTGAGCTCCCTTTCTTCTAACAGAAGTGAGTTTATATACGTACTGACATCTAACATTTAAAGATAATCTTAATTCTTGTGACTCGAGCCGTGATAGCTCAGTGCCCGGGCGCTCGTCTATAATTTAATATACTCGAGCAAATCGAGTTCGATCCCTAGCGCCGGCACCAATGAAATTGGTAATTTTAAGTGCTGATTTATCACGTGCTCATCGGTGAAGGAAACCATCGTGAGGAAACCTGCATTTATAAAATATGCAACTGAATTTTGACTGCTTGGAGTAATGACATGTCAACCGTGCAATGCCATTAATGAATATTATATGAAACTAGTACACAGATTTTATCATGTTTTAATTTTTACGTGTCCCGTGACGGTGTCTGTTTGTTCACAAGCTTAGCACAACATTCACTTTAATTCAAATCTTAACCTTATTCTAAATCTTAAATTAATAAGCTACGTTTTAAAAAAAAAACCTAATTATCTCATGCAACAGATATGAATTACCGATACTAATATTGCTGTTAAAAAATGGATACCACGGTATACGCAAATTGATAGCCCATTTCACCTCCTTCAGGGTCCCAAAGCATCTACTGATACTATCAATTAAAAGACTAACTAGTTTTCTTATTTTAATTTAAGAAAATTGACTTTTTCGTTAGGCGTCCATCTAACATTTTAATATTTTATCCTGATTGGAGTTTTTTTACAATCTAGAAGTAGTAATCTATGGAGTAGGCTTTCCACATTGTTATCGCCTATTTTTAAATTCAGATAAACTATTTTTTTTTTCATATTTTTAGTCGTAGACTCGAACTTGAAGTTTCACGTTCCGCGATCTAGAAGTTTAGAGGAATGTTACCAACATGATGCAGCTACCACACATCCCCAGGAACTGCTCCTGATGAAGATAAACTTGAAATTGGGGAACTGCCTTCAAAATTTAAATCTATGTAAAAATCTACCAGCTTTGAAGGTGGGTGGTTTACAATAAAATCGCCGGTCTAGGATAAGTTCGTGAGGAAAATAAAATATTTAAGTACTTCAAAAAAATTACACATTTCAGAAACAGTGTAGTCATGTACGACATCCTGTTCAAGGGAAGTGTAAACTCTGCCAATATGCAAATGTGCCACGTAGTTCAAAACATCCCATATAACCTAAAATCTAAGGAGTATTGGGTAAAGAGTGATTCCACTCTTTTCCGTATTAAAATACTTGGTTGACTTTGCTGGAGGGATGCACTATCTTAAATTCAACTCATTGTCATAACAACAATCAACCTATGGTCCTACGCCCTACAAGGCAATTACAGCAATACTGTAATATTGCTTGTCTGCCTATTTGGATTGCATTTAATTAAATATAAACATGTTTTATAAAAATATACTTAACCTACACTTGAAGATTACGTACGATTTGAAAATCGATTAAAATGACATCTTGATTTAAAATTTCACAAATGGTGGAATCTTTGATTTACGTCGATACAGTTGATGTTATGTATAATAGTATAGTAGTAGATGTATGTATAAGTATTTTAAGGTGTTCGTTTGATTGTAATATTCGCGATTAGTATAATAAAAATGTTTTATATAATGTGTGTTGGTCTTGGAGCGTCCAGACGATAATATCGTTTTCACGAACATTAAAATATTAATAATATTTTATTTTAGTAATAGCTTTGTAGCGGTCAACTCATTCATAATAACCCTTTTTATGAAGTTTTTCTTGTCTAGATGACATTCAATGAGTCCAAAACACTTGAGTTCAAAATCGAAGAGTCATGCAGTTCATTACCAGCGATGCTGGACGTATGGTGATGCCAACCATTTAGTTTAATAAAGAAGGGTATTTAACTAAATAGTTGGCATCGGCATGTCAGTCTCCTAATCCGTCCGTATGGCACTCACAGTCTTCTCTACGTCCAGATATGCGACGAACACCGATGCCCCTTGGTGAGACAACGGTTGTACGAGCATCAACAGAGATGCCATTCGACTGCGAAGAAGAAACAAAGTAACATAAATCCATCGAAGGGAGTGGAATGCAAGCCGGCGGAAAGTTATATAAAAAAGGTACTGTAATATCATTAACATTAACCTACCACAATGAGACTGATTGACAATTACAAATGCAAGTAAGAAAGAGACGGATACTGAGAATTATGATTAAGCTCTCGCTAATCTTGAACATTGAATTATTAGTAGTTTTAGCAACTAGAATACCTGAAGTAAGTGGCGATGTAAGCTCTAGATGTGTGGACAAAATTATATTCGTAGCTAACAGTCTAATCTAATGGTGAAAAGGCTAGGGATGAATTATGAAAGTAATCCCTGCAAACAATTTCCATTTTATAAATGTGGTACATGGACCTTCATAATAATTAAATAACCTTTCAACCTTCCTTCTGTGTTTTTCTTAGGTATCATATAAACCGCAAACGTGTGATGAGAGTCTTCAAACGTGTTTCAAAAAAAGCATCAAGGATATGGCGATCAACTGCGGTTCAACAGAAGCGAGGCAGAGCATTGAAAACGTAGCCGTAAAATCGAATAGTATCCTTAGCGCCTCAACAATGACGGGCTTTGAATTTGTGAGGCGTACGCAGTCCTGTAACACTATTGTGTCATTCAAAGACTTCTACAAGGATCGCTTGCAATACGAAGTGCTACAGTGGCTACGTGAGGTACCTATCGAGGCCAAATTCAATACGACCAGCCGCAAAGTAACGGAGGCGATTGTCAATAATTTGATCGAAGAGATTAACAAGTTGGCCGGCAAAGTGAACAGCAACAGCTACGAGGCCAAGCTTAAACGCGTCATAGAGGATTGCCTAACCTCCTTGCCGTTGCCATATCACAGCGCTAAATGTGACAAGATAAAGCGTATACTCACCGAGAGCCTCATCACTAGGATCGTGCTTCTCAACCGCAGGTACAGCTTCTCCTCGAAGAACAGCCTGTATTCCTGCGGCTTTAACGATTTCGAAACGTATAGGAGCAGCGCGGAGGACAGCGAGGTGCCGCTTATTAAAGTATACCGAAAGGACATATCCAGCTGGCTCCAGTCTAAGCAGCTTAAACGCAAGGACGGTGATGAGATAGATATAGCTGACCTGACAGAGAACCTGTTGGATCGACTGTTGCCATTGCTGTATGACAAGGATGCGAAGAACTCCAAATATCTGATGAGGGGCGAAATCATTGAAGTATTGAACAAATTGTGTTTGAGCTTCCCAGGGAAGAATGACCGTCTATACTTAAATGGCTTCGCTTGCGAACTAGCGAGAATCCTCTTGAAATCGCGAACGAACTTTCAACCATCCCTAAGAAGTTCCGCTAGAATTTTTTTATCCAATACAAAAAACTTTCTGCGTCAACTTCTTAAACGTAAGAACTCAAGGCGACGGAAGGAAATGTTAAGGGTTTCTAATGATAAAGCAACTACCGCTTCACGTAAGCATGTAAACTCTTAAATTGTAATGTTAATCAATTTATAACTTTAACATCATCCACACGAGAAAGGGCTTACAGCAATCCTACGGATCTTAAAATTAAGGACGACTTTCATAGTTTAAGTATTTTGTATGCAAGGTTTGGCAACTCCAAAAAATTTATCACATCCAATTTATTAAACATGACTTTCAACTTCTTTAAAAACATTAATACAAGAGTATCCCGTGAATACGATGTTTCTGGATCAGCCATTAAAAAAATGAATACTGAAGAATGTGCATTAGAAGTTATGTATGACCATACCAGACTCTGGATGGAAAATAAATCAAACATTGGATCTGTCAATAAAAAGGTAAAAGGTTTTTTCGAAATCCCGAATCACTCTATCGGTAAAAATTTAAGAACACAAAATATCAGTGAAAAAGAACCGTATACAGTAACAATTATGTTCAAATTGATTATCAATTGTGGATCTTTGAAAATCTTTAATGAAGCGTTGTATGTTGACGATAAGAATGATCTATTAGAAAAATTAATCAAAATGCCCTTCGCCAAAGGCATATTATATGACATTTCAATGATATTTGATTCCATAAAAATTAAAATGGCAAGAGACTTATCCTTACACAAGCCTTATAATGGCCATAGACCTAGCAATATTACCACAAAAAAGCTGTTCAACGATGATAACAGAACAATAAATAATCACAAACCGACCAACAACCATAATAGTGACCGAGAAGTAACAGAACTTTTTAATATAAGCTCGCAAGAGAGCTCAGTGTCATCATCACAAGATTATTACAGCCGCTTATCTCCTTTACCTTTTGATAAGGCGTGTGATGAGAAAAAGCAATGGAACAGTCAAAAAATGTTGACGGGAATCAATTCATCAACAATGAGGGAATCATTCTTCTGCCTTAGTAATAATTTACTGAGCAATGTTCACTATTTCGACGATTTTCCAACGACGCAGTGTGTTTTATGCCACTAAATTTCATCTGCACTCAATGCACTATTTTTATAGTCCGTTGAACATACGAACACAAAAAACTTGGATTAATAAAAAAGATGTTTATATCTCACATATTTATACATATATTTTTCTACAATTCGATGTTTTTTTCTCATCCGCGCTATCAGTTATTAAATGCGAGTTGCAAAACGGAATGAAAAGCCTTTAGAACTTTCTTTCTCATTTACGCACCCTGCGTAGAACAACGTGACATCTGCAAAATTGTAATTGTTCAGGACGGGCCGATTCAAATTATTATTTTTTATTATTTTGGTTATAGTTTTCTTATACATAGCAGTTCCTATTACAATTTTTGAGGTTTGTGATATAATTAGGTATATTAACAAACAGTATACTTTTTGAATTAATATTTATATAAATTTAGGAAATAAGAGGTTTCATGTGTATTAGTGACGTTTTCCTACGGAAAATGGCAAAAACTAATGGGTCACAAGATCATATATACACCTTTATATAACGTTGTTCAACGGAACATTCCAAAAAATAATAGGTCACACGTTCATTTACAACGTTGTTCTACTAAAAACTCAGAAAATATGTATGATACAAAGGCATGTAGCACTGTTTTCAACGAAAAAAACATAAAAAGTGGGTGATTGTGCAATCATTATGAATTGACTCTAACAGAGTATTTTACTCTCGTCTATAAGGTTAGTAAGCTTAATCTAGTCAGTACAAAAAAACAGTGTCTAAACGTACATATGTCCTTGTACTGCGAAAATCAAATCAGATAGAACGTTGTTCTATTCTGAATCTCAATATCTATAAGTCAGACGAAAAAAAAATTAATATCATCTGAAAGCGTAGACAATAATTAAGACTTTTCGATGATAAAATCAAACTCGTTCTATTTGACCACAGAACGTTATGCACGGTGCAATTTCAAAAATAAATAAGTTTAGAAAAAATGTATTTAGCTTAAGTATTTGCCATTCAGTAGATAAATATTGTAGATATTGACACTTAGTACATTTAATTATTATAATTATTGTGGTCTTTTGGAGAGCCTCCCAGGAAAAAACAAAATCCTATTGTTATTACATTAATCGTCTGCAACTAACTAAAGTTATCACCTTTCATAATCCGCAGTCTCTACCCTATACTCACTTCTTATGGAAACCTTAACAAAATGTTAACCTTAAAAAAAGTTAACCGCGAAGTAGAAGAAATACCATTAGTATATATTTTCACAGTCCTCCGAGCCATTGCTTGATAAGGTCTGTAGTGGTGACACGACTATATCATTTATTGGGGATATATTTTCTTCTTTTATGAGAAAAGCGTCTGGCGGTTCTCCTGATGTTAAATAGTTACCGCCATCCCTGGATATCAACAACACCTGACGGGTAGAAGATAAGTATTCAAGCAACAAAAAATATCAATAAAACTATCCCACACGTTTGCCGTATCAGTAGCACAGGTTAACGACCTTTGTCCAATTACGAAATATATTGCCTTAGCGATGTTTCTTATTGCAGTACAAAAGGAAATAGACCGGAGACCGTCGATAGCGACCGCATGCTGTGCTTGAATTAAAATAAAATACGAAGTCGACGTGACAAAAGAGCGCGTGGTGTGGCGCCAAAAATATTTTTAGTGCAAAAGTTTTTATGATCTATATGTAGAGAAACGTGCCAGGTAATTTACAATACAAGTATAAACCATGCTTTTAAAAATCTGTCAATAAACGTTAAAATTTATAAACTCTTAAAAATATTCCTTACGTAAGAATTATAGCAGAAATTTAATGTAGAAACTACGATTTCTTTTGCACTTCCTTCCCCACTGAGTCTGAGCAAGTCAGGGAGAGGTAAATCCATAATACCATTCTCCGTCGATAATTTTCCAGTAGGATTGCCTGATTCACCGTGAACCTGAAATACCCTTTGTCGCTTTGTCCGACACACGGGGGATAGCACAACTCAATATAGAAGACTAGCGACCCGCCCCGGCTTCGCACGGGTACAATGTATTATACATGTAAACCTTCCTCTTAAATCACTCTATTTTAGTAAAAAAAATCGCATCAAGATCCGTGCCTAGTTTTAAAGATCTAAGCATACATAGGGGGACGGACATGAGTGATAGACAGCAGCCCATTTACACGGTGCCAGTTTCTTTGTTTTATACAATTAAATTGAAGCAATAATGAGTTGCATGGTCTATGGTCTAAACAATTATTGATTTATTGCATTCAATTAGATGCCCGCGAGTAAAGGAACGAAACTACGATATGGTTTCCCGTCACTAAACTTTAAACAACGTGTGTGTAATATGAGGTTATTGTGTTGAACTCGTCACTGGAAACGTAAAGGAATCTTAAAAAATATCAGTAATGTCTATACGATCTCAAATGGATACCAGATGAATTTCATTGGATGCATCCTCAAATAAAACTGCAGTTGGTCGTAATACTCACAGATTTTACGTTGTATTTTCTTATACTAACACTCATATTATCATTTATGCGTAGTAGGTAGGTAGCTATAAGACAAACTTAAAAAAATATCCTCAACATAAAGTAATTTCCACCAATCGGCCCCCCGTTTTCCGCACCTTTTTTCTTCACTTAATATACAATAAGTTGTTTTAAATACTTTTATTATAATAATTATAATAAAAGTATTTAAAACAACTTTTAAATAACAACGAATTAATCGAATATTTTCGAACCTTACACGGTTATACAGTGATTCTCGATCGAACCATTATAGGTTAATGATCTTTTTGATTCTATGTCGCTTATTTAAAGAGGAGTTTACAATCGAAATAAAATCTTCCCAATGATTAACCATAGTTAAGGATGATAACAATGCAGAATAGAGTTTAATGTCTTCTTGACAGACTTTGTTAGATTAATTTTATTTAATGCCATAAATCCTAAATTTGTTTTAAATTTATAGTCCTTTCTAAATTCCGCTTTATTTTGTAATCCATACTGATTTCACGGTGTGGAGGATGTAAGTATTTAAGTATAATATTTATGTATATCGATGTGTTGCGAAGAATTTTGTCCGTATTTGTTTGGCCAGACCAAATGATGTTTAATAATATGAATGACGCATGTCCATACTGCGCGGCGTTTAAAAATCATGGTCCAGGCGTATAAACTGAAGGAAACTATGTAATCTGAAATTAGCGACAATTATTCATACAAATCCTTCCCATAACATGTTGAGGTATATCTAAATATCTAACGTCTTTTTTATATTAATTAGCTGGAACTGGAACAACAGATCTTTGTCCTAACTTACCGGTGATCATTTCAACAATGAATCATATAGTATCATACTGACAAAACAATCAACAATCCTCTTTGGTTGTGAATATCCATGGTTTATGGTGATTAGTTAGAATTATTTCAGACGTTAAAGTGTTAAAGCAAAGGATTTTGTGGATCAAATTCAAGAGGAACCTTTTCCCGTATTTATTTCTCTTTCGCATTTAATAGGACGATAATTGTGAATGGGTCATTAAGTAGTTAATAACATTGAAGATTATATGAAGAGAGAAATTCCATACGATTTTCAGGTCAGTGTTCCCCACGGAAGACTGGTGCGGCTGTTACAGGCCCAACTTCGCCGTCTTGATCTTCCGCTTGCTCAAAATGTTTGTTAGTATAATCGATGGAACCTCAAATTCTAATTACGCTGAATATACCGAAACTCGCTCATTTGTAAAATACCTGCCTTGAAAAGAAATACGATGACGATATAAGCCCGGTTATAATGCAATAAAACAGGAACGCACGTCATTTATTCAATTATACATAAGAATTTGATGACACCCGATAGGATAAAACTACAATTTGTTGTTTTAACCTATTGAGTGTTACTATTTAAACGTCTTGGAAGACACTTGTAATTGTGTGTCAACATCGGATGTGAGATAGTTAAGGTCCAGTTCAATCGCAAATCTCAATGTATGTTTAATATTATTATTTAATGTATATTTGGATAGATTTATGCTATAATTTCTTATCTAAATGGCTAGTATATATTTTACATCCTCACTCAAATTACGGATGTTCGGTGAATACTGACAATCAGATAAATTGTTTGGTCCTTTGTGACCTCCAGAATAGAAACTATAAAAAAGCAGTTGAGGGCACACTTAGCACTATCTTGAAAAAAAAAAACCGCCCAAGTGTGAAGAATCATGTCTGTTGTATGGGAGTCCTACTTAAATATTTCGTATTTTGTTTTTGTTGTTGTGTTATTTTCAGGATACAGAAATACAATATCTGTGAAAATTTCAACTAACTATCACAGTAAAGAAAATAACCTATAAAGCTTAGTGACAGACGGACAAGCATATAGATGTCAGAGTCTTAGTAATAGAGTTCCCTTTGGATAAATGGATAAACTACCTATCTCTATCAATACCACAAGGCTTGGCAGACTTAAGACCTCGTTTTTGGATATTGAATACTTTTCAATGCACATCTAGGAGTTGCACATCAAACCTGCACGTAACTTTGCTTATGGTGCCATCACTCAATGAGGTCTTAAGTTGTGACGTCACATTACATTTAAGGTCACTTCATCTTGAAGTTGCATAACTAGAAACTACGGAATCATTAGATCGGCCAACACTGATGGCCTTAATCTTCTAGTCATTATCAACCTTCGGTCATCACTAGAGTAATGTTGTCATTTACATCTCACAAGCGCCTGATTTATAATTTTTGACATCACCAGCACATTCGTCAACCATATAACTAAGACCGAAGTATGGAAGTTATCGGCAACAATTTTGTGGCTATGGTGGAGAACTTGCAAGGCACTGGACTCGCCGTTACTTTGGTCAACAATCCAAGAACTGGACTATCATTGGATAGACGAACACTCCCACTTTCGATGTCACCAAGTAAGTGTCTTGGAGAAGTTTACGAGTTATCCGTTCCACAGAAACAGTATAGATTTTAAATAGTGTTTAATCTATTGTTACGTGTTAGGGGTTCGAAGGATTTGGAGAGAAAGACCTTCTGACTCTTTTGAAGACTTTTATTCAATAGCACTAGGTCCAACACAAAGCACTAGGTCCAAACACTAAGCACTAACAATGTCCTAGATTGTAGCCAAGTCGTAGGTTTCGCTGGTATCACTCTTGATCACTGGTTTTCACTCCGAAGTCGCCTCGAAGGTAGCTCAAACTGAACTGTGTTCGCTCGCCTCCCTGCAGCTTTTCATATGGGCCGAGACCGGTTCCAGACTAATCCAGAAAGATCCTTCCTGGAACGTACCCGACACGCGCGAACATGTTCATGATTCCGGAAAGTTCGCGAATGTACCCGGTTTTCGAGACTATAGTTCCACAGCAGTTCCTCTAACGCCATCTAGTATTGAATAGGGGGTTTTATGTTGTCTTTGTTCTTTAGTGGTTTTAATAGTTGAGGCTAGATGGCGTTAGTTCCTTTGTGTGTTCATAACACTATGAGCTGGTGTATGTATACTTATATTTTGTTAATACCCACATTTTATTTTGATTTCTTTTTATCCATTCCCCTGAATTACAAAATAGTGTAAATAATTGTAATTAGACAATGTAATAGCAATGTCAGTTTTCGATGATTTTGGATCGATCTAACTGGCAATCATAAGATAGGATAGTTTGGTGCCAACGGGCACTATTTCGTTATACATTATGCTGTGTTACAATAAATGGATTTGGTTTTTTTGGCTTAAGGTTTATAGTTGGGGTACAAAGGGGTAGGAGGAAATATCCTCTGTATTGTCATTTATTAGTGTGGTCTCGTTTCCACCTTATCTTTCTTTAGCTAATTTACTTATTTTTACCCCTCCTTGTTCTCTATAATATTGTTCATCTATATAAACAGTTTTTTTTTAAATTAGGAACTGCCTAGCGCTTGATTTCTAGCTCACGACGAGATGCTAAGTGACTAAGTTACCTTTGTTTATGCATATCTTTTTGTTAACAAGATTGTCGTTGTTCTGGTTAATAAACATTCATTAGTATCATAACTTTTCGGTGGACTGTCAAAAGGGGATGATGACGTCAATTTCTTGGTCCCTTCTTGTGTCAAAATACTGAAAGCGACGTTTTCGGGAAGCCATCGTCATTTTTCGTGCGCAATAATTTCTAGATTTCCAGAAAACTCACGTGGTGTCTACTGTCCAGACAGAGAAGGAGAAAACACCGACGATTAACAGCGGAATACAAAGTTGCGATGACAGATTTGTCAGCAGTTACCAGGTAAGGCGTGATATACTCTAATAAAATATTGGTAAGTACTTTGAATTCTCCTTTAACTTCAAGGACGGTATATAACAGATATAAGCAAACATTTTAGTCTACTCAGGATTTGCCACAGTGTTACGCAACATTATAATTTCTTATTTTTAGTTTTTTTTATGTGAGAAGATAACAAGTGAGCTGACGTTCCACCTGATTTTACACTTAACATGCCTCACGACATTTATATCACACGTAATGTCGCAGATGACCTTTCAATAAAGTGAACAACGGCTGCATCATGCACCAGGCGAAATGCAGAAGTATAACACTTCCACTTCACGCCGGTCTTCTGTGGTGTCTCGGTACTTCCCCGGACGAACTTGCCTATTGGTGTAATGTGAAGACTGTTGCGTGGCCTAACCACAGTAAAAACTGTGAACTGGGCAATCTTCAGAGTTAGTGGGAAAACGCAGAGAGTTTTTCACGTGGCAGCACAGCAGTACGTAGTTTATATGAATCTTAGGTACGCAATCACCTTTAGCCACATTAATAGGTCTGTCTCCATCGCTTTAATAAGCCCTTTGTCTCAATATTTTTAATTTCAATTTTGCTTTGTGTATTTTGTAAGCCCAAAAGTAATAATATAAATGCTAAAAAAGAAAGTTCTTAGTTTAGCAAACGTCCACTTTTCTGCATTGTTACCAGCAATTTGTATTTCAAATAAATATAGGCCTATGATAAATATGACAATGTTTAGCTATTTAAAATTCTTTAATTTTAGCAACTTAATAGAAATCACTTGTTTAGGTTGCGCACTGCAAATTTACACCCACGTCCCCTCCGCTAGCACCCACTGAGTATCCACGGTTGCTATCGACGACAAGTGAGTAAAAATGTATTCACAAAACTAAATAGGCAAACGCCAGCATCGTCAATCTCCGTACATTGGGCGTTCACCAGCGCTTCCAGCCTTTGACGAACAACTTTCCAATTGCACTTCCAAGTGGCGATGTGTAGGACGAGCCCCAACTAGATGGAGTGACGACCTGTGCAAATACGATGGATTTAGGTGGCTCAGGATCATCATTCAATGATGATGATTTGATTGGTTCCAGCACGAAGTTTCGAAATTGGAATGCTTGAGAATAAAATTCAAAGCAAACGCCAGGCTCAGCTATCGGATACTTATCATTGAATTTAAATATAATTATATATTATCAATCATCCGATATTGTACTTGTCCGCTAATTGGCGGCCATCAGCCTATAAGCTTCTCACTCAGCAACTGCGTCCAAGAAACAACTTAAAAATCAAATCCTCGGTCAGCGAAACTTAAAATATTTTCTTAGATAAATAAACAAATATTTCGGCACCACAGGATTCGAAGCTTCGTCTCCTGGGTAACGCGCAGACGCTTTACCAAAAACTAACTAAACTAAGCGGCAGATGAGCTTACGTCGAGAATATCTTTCATCATTCCATTTTTAGCAATGCTTGGTGCTATATATATAAATTGTGATTTTTTTGGATTTTTAACTTTTAACGAAACGTGCTTTTACGTTGGGTTTAAAGCGCATCCTTATGCGATGAGATAACTACTTGTATTAAAATTCAAAACTTTAATTATTGGTGTTTTCTTCTGCAGCGGACAAGAAGACTGTTCGGTTGACCCATGACGCCCACACCTTTGTTGAAAGCCTGAGGAAGTATCCGCAAAACTTCACCCAACTCACCCGCTCGTCTGAACTTATAGAAAAAGTACTATCGGCTTCGCTGTCTAAACGAAGTAAATGGTTATATCACATAAATAAAAACCTTTTAATAATGTTATATTAATTATGTGGCAAGTTTAAGTAGAGTACAATTTCTGTAAGTAGATGATTTTGTTACTCAGCAAAAACATAAGACGTGTCTTTGCAGTCAACTCAAACATTTTTTTTAACCATTATCACCATCATATCAAACCTGTACGACATGATGCACTTTCCGACATAAATGTTTTACCGAATTCCCGAGTGACGACTTGACGACCCTGTTCCTGGATACCTGCAAGATCTCGGCTCGGTTCCGAAATATTTTAATCTTACTACAGATCTCTAGGATCGTCCCTGTACCTAAAACGATTTATACATCATCTGTAAAAATTTCAACTATCTAACTATCAAGGTTCATGAGAACAGCCTGGTGACAGACGGACAGACACAGACTACTTACTAGATTTTCCATACTGGAATTAACAACATTTTTGATTTTCATTATTCAAGACCTAATTCAACTAGTGTCATCAGTAGTATCTTTTATTTATTTATTGAACAACCAATGAAATAACATGTTTTTTTTTGTAATTAAATCTGACAATAGTCTTAGGAACTAAGATTCACATGATTCCATTTAAAGGTAGTTACGGCATGTTTAAAAAGACAATAAGTATACGATAACTTTTAATACAAGTACTATAAACTAAAAAAAAAAAAAAAAAAAATAAATAAAAATAAATATTTTAGGACACATTTTTACACAACATTTTCTAGTCCCAAACTAAGCAACGCTTGTACTATGGGTACTAGAAAACTGATAAACATACTTAAACATACTTTTCTTTTGTAAATAAATACATATTATAGATATATAAACACCCAGGTACTAGAAAAACACTATGTTCATCACACAATATTTTTCCAGTAGTGGGAATCGAACCCACACCCTCTGGCGCAGGAGGCAGGTACACTAACCACTACGCCATTCAGGTCGTCGTAAATAAGACAATGATGTAAAAATGGAAATTAAAAATTTTAAAAATAACTTTTTAATTCTATTTTCGGATCTAATAACGTCTTATATCTTAGTTTAAAAGGACGCTCACGATTTCAACTTCACACTGTATACATATTTAGCCGTACAATGGTTTGTAATTTCTGACTGCAGTGATAAAAGAACGTGCCAAGAGAGCGCATTCGGCGCTCCGCAGCAGACTGACCAAGTGCATGAACGGGAACGCCAACAAGGTTATCCAGACTTACACGCGAAGCAAGAAAGAGAAGAAGATCACTGGCAGCGATGCGATCCATAACGCCAAGACAAATACAGGGAAGCCTAACTTGTCACCAACTCCTGTAGATGAGGGCTTACGGTAATGAACTTACAGCTCTTAGTAATAAGTAGAAGGATGAGGAACTTTGGATGAAGTAACTAATTTAGGCTGTTTTTATACTTACGGGATCCTTATTAGCTTTTGCTCAGCACTCTCGCGTTCCTTCCGAAGAATGAGGTACCCGGCTACCTCATTTTTTTTTTTATGCGAAAAATTGTCAAACGAGCAGACGGTTCACCTGATGTTAAGTGAATACCGCCGCCCATGGACATCTGCCACACCTGAGGGCTACAAATGCGTTGACAACCCCTTGAAAATTGGGCTCCGGCTTACTCACCAGACGAAACGTACAAGTATGACACTCCCACTTCACAGCGGTCTTTAATAATTTTGAATTTTGTACATAATATGAATTTTCTAGTACACTTTTATTAGCTTGGTATATATGTATGTATGTAAAGAAATCTTTGAACGTTATTTCGATCTACTTTACAGCGTCGAATTAAATTGAAACTGCACACTTGTCAAGGACCGATGACAATGCAAACAATGCAAATATACCCCATATCATTTAAGATATTTCTATAATGACTAGTTTTATCAATATCTGTCATTAGAATATTATAACAATTGACTTCAAGCGCACCACGCTTTTCTACAATAAAATAAATGTTTTTTGTGAATCACACTATTGAAAATTAAATGTTGTTTAATTTAAATTATTTAGATTGGAAAATACTTCCGTCATTGCAGGATTCAAACCTGCATCTTCCGACTGACGCACCTCGATGCTTTTTTACGCCAGTAACCGTTAACACGACCTCCGTGATAGACATTACTCTGTTTTGAACTGGTGTGTGGTTACAGTGATGTTTCACCGCGGGTGCAGAGGATGGGCCGTGTTGCTGAAGTCAGGTACCTGAACGACGTGAGGAAATGTATCCGAGACGCATTCAGGCACGTGTGTGACAACGACGCAAATGTGAGTTTGTAGAGACATTGAGTCATTCTAATCTTGCTAGGCGTTGGGAGGGTTTCGAATACAAATTAACCCTATCCTGAGATGTTGAATATAGGTGACACAAATAAAAAAATTGACAATAACAAAAAAAACCATCTAAATTAAAACTATGAGTGTGCATATAATTAGATTCTTTACTGCTGTAAAACAAGGTAATAACTATGCTTAAGGATGCATCATCATCATCGTAATCAACCACTTGGATACTGGCTCGACATATCAGGACCTCTTTAGTTATATGGTCTGGTCTGGGTGTTGTGGATTTTCGATGGGTGTTTTGTGTTTTTTTAGATGGGTGGCGGTAATCACTTAACATCAAGTAAACCGCATACTCGCTTGTTTTATAGCATCTGAACTGTTGGAAACTAGGTCAGCGAATACAAATCGCATTAGCATCAAAGCCATGCTTGTTATATATGATAAATTGTAACTATGGTTAATTAAGGTCTTCTATGTTAAACGTCTCGTCGCTAGCTTAATAACGAGTCGCAACATAAAGTAGAAACTTTAGGAGTTATTTTGAGTACATTTTTGTACAGGTCTGTCAAAATATTCAGCGTCGAATGTCAATTCACCAGAAACGGCATCACAGCACATGCAGAAAGGATGTGGTAATAAATCAAATTTTAACAAAAAATAATTTATTATATATAGGACGAAACCGAGCGTAAGCATTCCGAAAAACACAAAAACATACCTCAGTCAACTCAGTCAATCTCAATTAATCGCCATGAGGAGTGAGATGCATCAACTTAGTTGATAATTTGACATTTCATTGTGCCGAATGCGTTATCTTAATTGATTTAATAATGATAATGACAAACATCGTGATATTAACAATAGCTGTGTTGATGATAACGATGTCCTTGTATAATTACCATTGTTTTCCGTTACAGTGCTGTGAAACGGATTGTGTCAGTCTAGACGGTGCGTTATTTTATATATCTTTCATTAAAGATTTTTTTTATTTTGATTTGAAATTTAGGTATTTGCTCTTTACAAAACCCACGGTATTATCTATGAAAACTGTGGAAAGAAATGTTCATCCAAACCCTCACACCCTCTTTTAACTGTGGTAGGGCAACGCAACAGTTTTCAATGTTGCACGGATGGGCAGCCTCGTTCGGGTAAGTGCCACGACCTCACGGAAGACCGGCGTGAAGTTGAAGTAAACTTTCGCGTTTCGTCTGGTGAGTGAGGTAGCTGGAGCCCAATTTTCAAATGGCTGTCAACCCATCTGAAACCCTCTGGTGTAGCAGATGTCCATGGGCGGCGGTATTAACATCAGATGAACCAGAAAAACAACCAACAAATAATAGGAACACCATCGAATAGATAATACCTTATTTTTTATTTATACCTCTAAAATTTTATTAAAATTATAATAAGCATATTTTTTCCAGATCGATCAGCTTCGTCCCGCGAATTAGGAAGTCAAATAGTTCCACAGGTATGTGACATGTTGGAATAAAATATAGATTATGATTTATATGCGAAAACAAAGGGGATCCAATAAGATGTATTGGATCCCCTTTGTTTTTCAATTAGATGAAGTATTTATAAAACAAATTATTCTCTTTCAGAAATCTTTAAACAGAGAGGCTTCTAAAATTTGCTGCATATGCTTGGAAACTTTACCATGTACATGTCGAAAAGAAGTAGAAAACACTGCTGCTATACATGAAGATTCTAAATGCATAAAGTTTAGGAATGAAAACATTAAAGATTTGTTAAGTTCAAAGTCTTGCTGTAAATTTATTATAGAAGAACGAGAATATGACACGAAGGTATTAAAGCAAGTTTTTGACTGGATGCAAGAAATTCCGGTGAATGCGAACTTTACCTGCGAAGACAAAATTAAGAGGCAAGTTATTATGAGAAAATTGGTAAATTTGTTGCTAGAATTTAGAGGAATGCAAGATAAACAGAAGGAGGAAATTAAAAAATGTCTTGATGAGCTGCCAATGTGGCGGCCTGTGGACCAATTTGATCATGATATATTCATAAATAAACTCATAGAGAATCTTTTAGCCCGTATAAATGGCCTATCGAGTAGTAACGATAATTTGACAGATATTGTATCTAGATGGATTAATGGTACTTTGTTAAATTATATAACAGACAGTGATATTATGAATATGGAACAATTACTTAATAATTTACTTTTCATAATTAAATCTTTGAAAGTGGATGAAGTTCAAGATGAATGTTATTTTAAAGAATTACTTATGACATATCTTAAAAACGTATTAAAAGAAATTCCCATGAAGCGTACTTCGGATATGAACTTTCTGGACAAGGCTGCAAACAAACTAGTCGAAACTATTACTAATACATTATCTCTAAATGTTGCTCCTTTGAAAAACATCTCTCGGAAAGGCAATACTAAAACAACGCTCGAGCAACAAAATTTTCCTCGTCTCTCCAATTACAATGAAAATCTTCAATGTTCGAGTGTGCCTCAGAGTGTTAATGAACAAAATATCCAACCTAATAAAATTGAAGGTAGAATAACACCGTCAAGCAATCTAAAACATATATCACAACATCATCCAGCTAATAACCAAAATAAAACTTGCGACGTTGAAAGACATAACACTTATGAACAAGACAAATTGAATAAAAAACAAAGTTTACGGGAATATGTAGAAAATAAAGTATTAGATGTTTTAGAAAAATTACCAATGAGTATAAATTATGATACTAAACAAGCTTTAAAAAATGAAATTAGTAATATAATTTCTAGAAAATTGAATTTAGCGCAACACCCGTTTATAAAACATGAAGCTTTGGAAAATGGATTTCAAAAGGATAGAACGTGCAATCAGTCAGTTCCGTTAACTAAATTACCACTACAACACGAGAGCATTCGAGACCTTGTTAAAGAACAAGTTGCTAGATTACTCGATAAGTACGCTATAAATAAAAAATACATAACCACAATCCAAAACGATTTGACAAACCTATTAACAGACCAAATAATGCGTAATGATAATGATACCTCAGTTAAAGGCATAGCTTGTAGTATTCTAGAAGGATTGAATATACCTGAAAATGAAGTTGAAGAGTTATATAACAGTATCTTACAACACTCCAATAAAACTTCTTTAATTCAACAGAAAACATCAGTTTCCTCTGGAGACAGTACTTCCAAGTATCAAGAAAAAACAGATATCTTAAAAAAAACAGAAAAGGAAATATTTAATTTTCTTGACGAGATTACAAAAAAAAATGACATGGAGCTTAAACAAAAATTAATAACCCCAACTAAGCTTTTAGCGGAGGAAATAGAGAAAATAATTTCAAGTAGTGAACGTTCCACAGAAGATAAAGAAAATATGATAACAAAAAAAGTTTTCAATTTTCTAAGAAACAAATTATTTCCCACAGCGGAAATGTGTCATACATTTGCTAAACATTTAGCGAAAAGGATATTACAAATTCCATTACAATCATCGACTCCCAAAGCATATGATGATTATGTTTCTATTCAAAGAGAGCCTACATTATCAGTAATTTATCACGACAATGAATATTTTAATGAAATAGATCAAACATCTCTAGATGGAATTAACCAAAATCCAAATGTACATCGTATATCGGATGAAGTACTGAAATGGATTGAAAACATTCCGTCAGAATATATTATTTCTCTCGATAAACGTTTGCACAAAATGCTTGCAAAAGAAATTGCAAAGACAGTACAAGCATCGCCAACTAACCTAGATTCCCATTTTGATTCCTTTTTAGAGCGTGAAATACTACGTTGGTTGCCAAAAATTGCGAAACACTCTAATCAAGCCGAACTTCGTTGGATGGCAGAAGATTTAAAGGAGACGATAAAACAAAAACTTATATCAGATGATGATGAAATTAACGAAAATTCAAATTCGTATCTTATCTTCAATGAAGTGTTGAAATGGATTGAAAACATTCCTTCAGAATATGTAATTACTCCCGATAAACGTTTCCACACAATGCTAGCAAAAGAAATTGTTAGGAAAGTGCAAACAGCGCTAACTAGCTCAAGTTCACATTTTGATTCGTTTTTAGAACGCGAAATACTACAGTTGTTGCCAAAAATTGTGAAACACTCTAACGAAACTGAACTTCGTTGGATGGCAGAGGATTTAAAACAGATAATAAGACAAAAACTTAGAATTGATGATGATGAAATTAAAGAAAGTTCAAATTTATATCCCATCTACAATGAAGTACTGAGTTGGTTTGAAAGTATGCCATCAGAATACATTATTTCCCCACATAAACGTTTTCACAAAATGCTAGCAAAAGACATTGCAAGGAAAGTACAAGCACCGCCAACAAGCCCAACCTTATCTACCGATTCATTTTTAAAGCGTGAAATACTACAGTGGTTATCAAAAATTGCAATACACTCTAATGAAGCTGAACTGCGTCGTATGGCAGATGATTTAAAAGAGAAAATAAAACAAAAACTAACACCTGGCGTTGTTTCATTATCGAAATTTTCGGATGAATCAAATGTTATAGAAAATTTAAAGGATAGTCTTATGGTTTGGCTAAAAAACACACAAATGTATCAGAAGAGAAATACACTAGAAAAGCTTTACCAAGAAAACTTAGTGTCAGATCTTGCAAGGGAATTAAATGATATAATCTATAACAGTATTTCTAATGAAAGTTTAGACTACGGAGATGAACTAATATTGAAAACAATAGAATCGCGTATTAAACAGTTTCCTATGGACCCAAGGGTAAAATATAATGACAAATACCATCGAAAAATAGCGTTTGAAATTTTAAATCATTTAAAAAATTTAGGGCCTTCAAAAAAATCTTCGACAAGGGAAACTAAACTCGAACGTGCCATTTCAAGGTGGCTTAAAAATTTACCCTTAAAATGGGACCCAGACTATCAATATCTTTCTGATAAGCTTAACTCCTTATTGTCAGAGTTTTTGAAAAACAAAAGCGTACATCCTGAGGTAGAAACGTATTTAAAGAGCGAAGTAATCAATGTATTACAAGATTTACCTTTAAATGAAGACTATCATAGCTATGATAGATTACAAACATTAGTGGATAGTTTATTTAAAAATTTGCATTATGAACTTAAACACAAAACGCCCCAAAGAATTTTTCCTGATACGCAACCAGCTATTCGAAGTAAAGAACCATTACCCAAACAAGCGGCATGGAATCATGATAGAATTCCAATAACCAACACATACAGTGAGAATGGTGCATCAAAAAAAACTAATACTTCTAATAGACCTGAAAATTTAAATAATTATGAAGGAGTTGGCTCATTACATGTAAGAGCTGACCCTAATCAAACAACTTTTGCGGATAAAGCAACTACAAGCAACAATTTTATCGAGAATGATAAAATTTACCAGGAGGTTCCGATGCATTGCGAAAAAATTCCATTCGGAGGCAGCGGGGAAAATAAAAAAAAAGTAGAAGAAATAAAGCAAAAACTAACTAGTGGTTTAATCAAACTACTCGATAGATTGAATTCAAGTTCAACTTTAGTTGCTAAGAGCGATGACGAAAATGTTTTAAAAAATGAAATCGATCGGTTAATACAAACCTTATCAGAAAATGGATATAAGGAATATTTACGCTCATTAAAAAAAGATTTACTGAATATTACTAAAGAAATATCAAGAATCCGTAAAAAAACTTTAGCCAAGCCAGCATTTAAAAATGAACTATATAAAGTAGCTGATAAGTCTTCTTCCACACCCACAACTTCTAATTTATTATATAAACATACTTCATTTGAGGATATGAAAGAAAAGTTAATTGACGCATTTATTAATTTAAATGAAATAACAAATGATAACATAAGTAAGTACAAAGAAAAACTAAGAAAGGAAATTAATAAATTTTGTAATGAATATATACAACTACATCCAGCAGCTCGTGCCGATGCAGACCAGTTATGTCAGGATTTGTATACTGCATTGAAAAATGTCTCCTATCCTGACAATAAATCTATCAGTTCTCAAATTAACCTACATGAAACAAAGGATGAAATTGAACGCTCTTCGTTTGAATTGCCGTTACAAGGCAATGAAACAAATGAAACGCTTAAGGGCTTTGTGAAACACTTAGTGAATTACCTACAAGATCAAGAGACGGAACCCAAACAATTTTTTGAAAAAGATAAGAATTTAGAAAAGTTAAGGCAGTTTTCCCTTAAATCTGTACAGACTGAAAATACTAGTGAAAATACGAAAGATTTATTTAACAGACTTAAAAAGTACTACGAAGAAGGAAAGCATAAAAGTGGACGGTGTCAAAAGGATGCAGATGCAAAAGAATTGCAGCCAAAAACACCACCCGTGTGTCCAGCGGGTGCAGATGCGCAAAAAATTCCAACACATTTAAGGTATCAATCTCGAACTTTACATAAAGCTGACGACGTTCATCGACGTCATAGTGATAATCAAACAATGCCTGAATTTGAGATCACTGTGCAGGATTCAGAGGAAATATTACCAAATAAAAGACCTTACCTCACAGACCACGGTCATTCTTTTATTCGTAAAGCACCTTGTAATGCAATACAACGTCCAGATAAACTGAATTCTAAAAAACACTACACAGAGAGATCAC